AAATTCACACATATACTTCAGGAATATTTCGGATACTCAGTACTATGTGTTTTTGGAATTCCCATTTGAAATTCTCTTCAAAATTGGTGGCAGCTCTTTTTTTTTTTTTAACTTCATGGGCAATTTCAAAAGTATAGAGAAAAGTGTAATAATTTGCCATGTACCTAACACCCAACTTCAATAGTTATCACTTTCATTTACATAGACTGTGAAGTTATAGCAAGTATAGTGATTTCTTCTAAAGCACCGTAGTTTGCTGATTTTCTGGGATCTGTAAGTCAATATAGCTTTTGGTTTTTGTTTTTAAAATCAAATTTTGGAAAATCCCAGCCATTATTTCTTCAAATATGTATTTTTTCTGTCCCATTCTTATTCTTCCCCTTTTTGGATTACACACATGTTGCACTGTTTGATGTTATCCCATAGGTCTGAACGGTTGATTTCTTCCTTCAGACATTTTTCCTGTCAGTTTTTTAGATTGGATGATTTACATCGATGTCTTTTACGTTCGCTGACTTTTCTACCATTTCCTTTTTCAGTTCTAGAATTTTCATTTTTTTTTTTTAAAAAAAAACTTCATTTCTCCATTGAGATTCTCTATGTTAACCTATCTGTATACCATATATATTAAAAATAAAAAATTTGAACATATTTTCCTTAACATTTTAAAGCATATTTATAACAGCTGCTTTAGTTGATCTGTTCAATCCAATTTATGGGCCATCTTGGGGTCAGTTTCTGTTGCCTTCTTTCTGACTTGTATATTGGATATTGTAGATAGTATGTTATAGAGACTTGGATTCTGTTACCTTCCTCGTGAGAAATGCTGATTTTTACTTTCTTAGTAGGTAGGTCATTTACTGGCTTATCACCTTGAACTTGTTTTTAGGTTTGGTTTTATGCTTTGTTAGACTAGATCCGGGGAGAGCTTAAGATGTTTCCCAAGCCAATTTAACTTGGTGGGACTCAACTCTCAACCTCTGCCTCCTTCCTGATCTTGTCAGGGCTTCTTTTAGGTGTAATTAGAGCAGATCTCGAGTTGGCCTTCTCTGAGATGTGATCCTAACTCCTAGGGCTCTGCCTTCTGGGTGTCTCAGCTGGATGCCCAGGGTATTAATGAGGTTCTGTGATTTCACAGAAGACCTGAATAGAACTTCTAAGAGTTCCATTGTCTCTCAGCACTGTTTGACCTCTAGTTACCTCTGTTTCATTTTGAACCCTTTAGTGGTTCTCTTGTAGGCTTTCATCTTGCCTTACAGATGTGCAGCCCAGATCACAGCCAAGGATTTTTGGAGAACTTCCACACTGGGGGCCTCCCGTCTGCATGGTTCTCTTTTCTCTGGGGCTTTGCTCCACAGATTCCAACTACTTAAACTGTAATCTCTGCCTCCTTAGCTCGGTGGACTGCTGCGCTCCGCTTGGACTATTTCCTCTGCATGAAGTACTCTTCCCTCAACCTTACCCTTGCTCTGCTTAGACTTTAGCTCACTACATACACCATTATCAATAAATGTCCCCAGGCAGAGAACTGAGGCAATCACAGTGCTCGCCTTATGTGTTTTCCTTCTCTCAGGATCGACCTTCTGCATGTTGTTTAATGCCAGAAAACATTGTCTCTATATATTTTGTCCACTCTTACGATAGTTTATGATGGGATGGCTAGTTTAGTACCAATTATGTTGTTATATCCAGCAGTGTAATTCCAAAGCCTATTCAGTTTGGAGAGGGAATTTTTTTTTTTTTAATAAAACAATCTTATTTTAGCCCTAACCGGTTTGGCTCAGTGGATAGAGCGTCGGCCTGTGGACTCAAGGGTCCCAGGTTCGATTCCAGTTAGGGGCATGTACCTTGGTTGTGGGCACATACCCGGTGGGGAGTGTGCAGGAGGCAGCTGATCGATGTTTCTCTCTTATCGATGTTTCTAACTCTTTATCCCTCTCCCTTCCTCTCTGTAAAAAAATTAATAAAATATATTTAAAAAAACCAATCTTATTTTATTTTAGACATTTTTACCCCCATTCATCCAGTCAACGATTATTTATTGCCTGTCTTCTGTCTATGATGGGCACTGGGCATATAAGGGGGATGAGATACAGTTTCTTTCCTCAAGGAGAATACTTCTTAATGGATTAGATGGCCAACAAATAGGAAGCTTGAGTCTGTTTTTTAAAAAAATAAACTTTTATTGATATATAACGTACGTTGTTATGGTATGGTTCCTCCTTCTCCCTCCAATGTGGTAAATTGTTATATAAGGACAAAGAAGCTTAATCCATCTTTTCCAAAGGGGAGGCTTTGGTAATAGATGCAAGCTCTAAATACGCTTTTGTAAACCACTATTACTTGATTATTAACCATTAAATTTGTATTATTTTGAAATAATTAGTAAGAGCTATAAAAGTGTTATTTACCTGCTCATGTGTTTGTTTCACTAGAGATGCAGAAATCAGATATCTTAATGTATTTATGATATTAAAGTGAAAACAACTTTTGTCTCTGACTTCATAGTGTACTTAATAATCAAAACACATTTTTTCAACTTTCATTTTTATAAGGTCAGGCTAACTCATGAAAAACAAACTTATCTTCATCCTGCTTCATATATCACCACTGACAACCTGATAATCTTCAGCTCAGGGTCTGGCTTTAGAATGATTTTTGCCAGCAATCACTGATAATGATATATGAATTGGATATGAAACAGATTTTCTTCCTTTTCTATTATGACCTCCATCCAAAATTAGATTGACTTTAGATTGATTATAGAAAAATAACAGCTTGAAAAACTGTTGTTTTTTTCTCTAGTAAAATGCCCTTGAATGTTAACTTAGAAATAAGATTTATTGAACTTCTGCAGTAGTACTTTCTCAGCCATTTTGGTTAAATTTCTGAAACCTCCCAGGATAAGAAAATTCTTCATTAAAGAACTTCTGACAATTCTTATGGAGGAAATAAGTATAAATTCAATATGCAAAATTAAGAGAATATCAATGGCATGTTATTATCTTCAACAATAATGAGTAAATTTATTATTTTATACTTTTAAGTATTTTATTTTTCTATTGTTACATCTGTATTAGCATTTTTCAAGTCTGACCCCTAATCCGAATGTTTAGTGCCTCTCTAATATTTAACTGAGAATTGTTGATTCTTGCCTCCGACTGCAGTAGAAGATACAGAAAAACTATATGCTTGAAATAAAATAAAAATCTTACTTGTTTTTTTCCCTGTTACCAAGCACATGAAGTCAAACTTTATACACATCTCTCCTCTGTCTTTTTATAGATGCTGATATTTATCCAAACTTATAATTCTAACAAGTCATTGTAATAGCCTCATTCATACCTATAACATTTACAATATACCTCATTTACTTAATGGTGCATGGTTATGTGTGTAACATTTTATTAAGCACTATATAGCTCTCTTCTGACTTTTTTTTTCTCTTTCATTAACTCCTCCAGAGTACTGCCACCTTCATAGCAGAAAGTTTTGTGGTAGGTAGCATTCTGGAAAGTTTGGCCCCACTTGTTTGTTCTGTCAACCTAAATAGCATTCCACCTATATTCACTCTCACTAGGTAGGATTTATAAACTGTTACATGTACATGATATTAGACTACACATATCTTGTACTAATGGTAAATTAGATATATGTAAAATAAAGTAGAACAATTTCCTGCAACTAGTAAAAGGGCACATGATTTTTAGGTATTTAGAGGCATGCACACTATTCCTTCAAAGGATCTACTTTACCAGCAACTTGGGAGCCATTATTATTTTTTAATTTATTTTTAAAATTAAGTGTATTGGGGTGACATTGATTAGTAACATTGCATAGTTTCAAATGTACAATTCAATAATAATACATCATCTGGATATCGCATTATGTGCTCACCACTCAAAGTCTAGTCTCCCTCCATCACCATAAATTTTGCCCCTTAAACTCTTTATCCTGCCCCCCTCTGGTAACTACCCATCTGTAGACTATCTGTGTTTGTTGCTTTCCGTTTTATATCCTACATATGAGTGAAATCACATGGTTCTTGTCCTTTTCCATCTTATTTATTTTGCTTAGCATGATACTGCCTCAAGATCCATCCATGTTGTTACACATGGCAGTATTTCATCTTTTCTTATTGGCTGAGTAGTATTCTGTTGTGTGTATGAACCACATCCTCTTTAATCATTCATCAAAAGATACTTAGGTTGTTTCTATGTCTTGGCAACTGTGCATAATGCTGCAATGAACATAGGAGTTTATATATCCTTACGAATAAACATTTTCAAAATTTTCAGGTAGATCCCAGGAAGAGGATTGCTGGGTCTTATCGTAGCTCTATTCTTAATTTCTGGAGGAACCTCCATACTGTTTTCCAAAGTGGGAGTCATTAGTTTCAGTTACTAGAGTAAAGTGCAGTTCTTTAGCAACATTCTTCAGTTTATCTAGAGTCCCCTTTTAGTTCAAATAAGCAAAGTTTTTCAGTATTTTCAATTTTAACAATATAACTGCTGTTTATGTCAAAAATATCTAAGATGCAGAACTTGCACTATTGCTCCTTCAACTGTCAGTAACTTTTGTCATTTGTGATCAAATGGTAATGATAGGAAATCTTTCAATCCTTGTGAGACTATATCTCCTGACCTGTTCATCCCATTCTCTCCTCAATAGCATTTTAACAAAATGGAAACATATTGTCTTCATTATTAGACAGAATAAATGTTTGCTTCTTGCTTCCATTTACTCTATCTTTTAAAATATAATTGGAAATAATTCGTATGTGCACAGATAGTATGTATATATTAATGGGTTTGGCCTAAGACAATTGTGATAAATGTTTTGGCATTGCATAGGGATTATGTGTTTTGATTTGTTGATAGGAATGGTCACAGCATTGTGAGTTTTGAGGTGAATAAATGATGAGAATATCACCAAAGTGTCCAGCCCTACAAACATGACTTTATACTGACAGTAATTTTTTTTTGACTGCTATATTGCAGCTGTTGAAAATGGACGGATGGATGTGTTAAGGCTGTTGCTTCGATACGGAGCAAATGTTAATGGATCCCATTCTATGTGTGGATGGAATGCCCTGCACCAGGCTACTTTTCAGGTAACTTCTGAATTTATTATTTCATCTTCATGTAAATTGTATGTTTTACCCTTTTAAAATGACAGTTCTATACAATTTTTACTTCCCACTTGTCTGTGATTTATGATGGTTAGCGCAGTACAGAAAAGGCAGTCTAAATGCTAATGATCATTCTGAATAAACCAACTGCTCTAGTAGTATCAGCAGCTTTGGGTGACAGGGATTATCTAAGGTTTCAAATGTTGATGGCATAGTTAAGAGACCATCAGAACACTTGGGATATAAATTGATAAGGAGCAATGACTTATTCTATGTATAGCAATGTGTTTAGAAACTACGATAGTTCCTTAGTGTTTGGGCTAGCAAGCTATTTTTGCAGGATTTTATAAGGATTATAATTCCTAGAGATCAGTGTTTCATCTATTAATGTTTAATGGGTTTGTGAAGGTATAGAATAATCTGATAGTTTAAGACTTCCTTCCCATCCAACTTTCTAAAAAAAGTTTTTCCTTTATAGAGGATAAAAAACAAACTGAACAAAACACAACAATAAGAAAAGAGATACCTTCTATTTTCTTTGTTTTCTCTTATTTAAAATATGAATCTGTGCTTTAGGAAAATACTGAGATCATAAAATTGCTTCTTAAAAGAGGAGCAAGCAAGGAATGCCAGGATGACTTTGGAATCACGCCTTTATTTGTGGCTGCTCAGTATGGCAAGCTAGGAAGTTTGAGCATACTTATTTCATCAGGTAAGATTAATCCATTACCCTTTGCACTTTAAAGATCACGAGTTTTAATAGTATGTCTTCCTAGGAGGAAGAATTCTTGACCAGATGCAAATCAGGTTGTGAAATTTATGGTTTTATGTTAGTGGTAAATAAGAGTACATACAAGTTTGTTTGTTTATTTATTTATTTATTTTTATTTTTGTTAATCCTCACCCAAGGATATTTTTTTTTCCATTTTTCAAAAAAAGAGAGAAGGGGGGGAGGGGGGGGAAACATTGATGTATAGAGAGACACATCGATTGGTTGCCTCCCGCATGTGCCCCCATTGAAGCTGGGATAGAACCTGGAACTGGGTACGTGCCCTTGACTGGGAATTGAACCCGAGACCCTTCAGTGCATGTCCGATGCTCCAACCACTGAGAAACACTGGCCAGGGCTACAAGTTGATTTATAAGCCTGATTACTTAGTGTCTATTACTAACATAATGCAATGTACAGTTTCTAATTTATCTGAGGAGGAACATAATGATCTATCACTGAAGCAGGTTTATTGGAAGCTGAATCATGGGGCTGTCCTTTCTTATAGGGACCTGAGCAGTTACAACTTCCTACGGTAGAAGACTATATTAATATTAATTTATTATATAGCTATTTTGTATATTAAGCCTTTGAGTTGTATGTTTTGATCAATTGTATGATTATTTAAATGGGTTTATTTCTATGTACGTTTATACTTTATTGTGTTAATAGCAACATAAACCTGCTGAAGGTTTCTCCTTGACAACCATTATACATTCAGCATTGTCAGAGAAGATGGAGTTGGGGTGGCATTCTTACTCTGTGTGACACTTCTGTGACCAGAAACATTTGTTATGTATGGCTTTTACATTTCTCCAAATACCACTTATGCCCTCAAGAGTGCTAACCTGACAAAGCACCATAGTTAGAGCACAAGGGAAATACACCAGTTTTGCCATCAGGCAAATGAAAAAGTTTTAAAAAAATTACATTAAATATAAATGTTAAAAATACCTTGTGCTTTTCATATACCTCCTGTAATACCTTGGCTTTTAATAAATTACCTCCAAATATACAAGAAAAAGCTTATTTATTTTTATTTTTTATTCATTTTTATTTTTATTTTACAGAGAAAAAGAGAGAGGAAGAGAGAGATAGAAACATCAATGATGAGAGAGAATCATTGATCGGCCGCCTCCTGCATGCCCCCTACTGGGGATCGAGCCTGCAATCCGGGCATGTGCCCTCAACTGGAATTGAACCCAGGACCCATCAGTCCACAGGCAGATGCTCTATCCACTGAGCAAAACTGGCTAGGGCACAAAGCTTATTTAGACATGAATTTTAACTGTGTGTTTTCTTATTTGTATTTTCTCTTTACAAATCTTCAAATACTCAAGTTGAAGTAGGAAACAAAATAAATATTCATTTAGTGCCAAATTAAGATATTTGTTACAGATATGAATCTATAAATCTTATAGTTGAAGGGAATCTCCAAAATCATTTTTTAAATTTTTTTTCTATCACCATTTATCCCCTCTATGCCCTCTTCCACCTCCACTCACCCCACTCCACCCCACCCCACCATCACCACACTGTTGTCCATGTCCATGAGTTCTCTCCACCCCCTGCCCTAATCATTTATGTAAACATGTGTTTTTAGATTAAGAATTCCAGGCCCTGAGTGTGTAAGTGTCTTGCCCAAGATCTAGAAAGCATTTCTTGGCAGAATTAGGACTTGGACCCAGCCCTTCTGACTCTCATTTTCCTTCTTCTTCTACATGTTCTTTCTGAGGACTGTCCTCATTTGATGGCTCCCAGTCCCATAAATTCCATTATTAGTGTATAACTAAGATTTAGAATAAAATAGGTTAAATTGCACCTTAATGACTTTCCTCATGCCAAGCCTGTCTCCTAGGTTGCTAAGCACCTATTGTTTTGCTTTGTTCTTTTTTTCTTCTCTTTGAGTAGTTATGAACAGCAAGTTGAAAGGGTATGTAAGTATGTTTATAATATAACTATTTATGTTTCTAACCCCTTAATATGACTTTTCTTTTAGTGAATTGTGGGCCATTTTTTCTAAGTTTTCTACCTATAATCTCACAGGGACTGGTTCCTTATTTGTCCTGACACTTTGAAATTGTCAATCAAAATGAAACATTTCTTAAAAAAGAAAGTTAAGTAGGCTTCTTTCTTGACTTAGTCTTTTCTCAGTAATGGTGTCCACTGCTTTCTGAGGCTGACAGTAGGTTTAGCATCACCTTGTATTAAGATTCTACTTGTCTACACATGTTGAATGTTCAGTGGAAATTTCTGAAGGTTTCATAAATTCATGTATGTTTTGCATAGTTTTTACCTATCTCATGGCCTTAGTTTATTAAAGGTGTATTTATGGATAAAAAATAGTTCTTTTCCCTTTGATAATAATGGTTTTCCCACTGAGATACATTTCAGAAATTTAAAAATTCTCACTATTATGTAATAATATCATAGGTAGCATATTTAACATGTTAATTGTCAATAATGAGAAAAGTTTGGGGAAGTGGCTATTTTCAAAACCTCTACAAATATTGAGATCACTTTCAACTTCATATCTTTATATACTGGTATCTAAATAATCTATTAGATTTATGCTTTTTAAAAATCAGCTCAGGCCCTGACTGGTTTGGCTCAGTGGATAGAGCGTCGGCCTGTGGACTGAAGGGTCCCAGGTTCGATTCCAGTCAAGGGCATGTACCTTGGTTGCGGGCACATCCCCAGTAGGGGGTGTGCAGGAGGCAGCTGATCGATGTTTCTCTCTCATCGATGTTTCTACCTCTCTATCCCCCTCCCTTCCTCTCTGTAAAAAATCAATAAAATATATTTTTAAAAAATCAGCTCAGAAAATCATTTAAAAAGATCTTTTTATTGTAGGCTCTGACATGCATTGGTCATGAAGAAAGAGAATATAATAGTCAATATTAGTTTTAAGGCATAGCCTTAAATTCTACTGGAATTTTTTAAGAAAAATATGTTTTTATTGATTTCAGAGAGAAGAAGGGAGAGGGAGAGAGATATAGAAACAACAATGATGAGAGAAAATCATTGATGGGCTACCTCCTGCACACCTCCTACTGGGAATCAAGCCCGAAACCTGGGCATGTTCCCTGACTAGGAAATGAACTGTGACCTCATGGTTCATGGGTTGGTAATCAACATTAAGCCACACTGGCTGGGCAATTTTTTTTTAAAATAAAGCTTAGCCTGAATTGATTAGTGACATCTACAAAGGCTCATAATTTAGGTTTTTCTCTTATCTTTTTCAGCAATTATCAGAAATGTTATCCATATTTGATGGTTTGCCTTTTACCTTTTTAAATGATTATTTATTGGAACCACAGAGTGCTTGTTGGAGGAGGAATTGGGATGAAATGAATCCTTTGCTAAGAATTTTGTTTTAATGTAAAAATGAATTCTAAACTATTAATAACTTGTTTTCTTGCCAAAATAAAAGCAAAAACAATTTTCATGATTACCAACAAGTTAGGTAAATGAATCCTATATAATAAAGAGGTAATATGCAAATTGACCATCACTCCAACACACAAGATGGCCGCCCCCATGTGGTCAAAGATGGCTGCCACAAGATGGCCAGCAGGGGAGGGCAGGTGTGGGTGAGCAGGACTGCAGGAGAGGGCAGTTGGGGGTGATCAGGCCTGCAGGGGAGGGCAGTTAGGGGTGACCGGGCCGGCAGAGGAGGGCATTTGGGGGAGACCAGGCCTGCAGGGGAGGGCAGTTGGGGATGACCAGGCCTGCAGGGGAGGGCAGTTGGGGGCGACCAAACCGGCAGGGGAGGGCAGTTAGGGGTGACCAGGCCTGCAGGGGAGGACAGTTAGGGGTGACCAGGCCGGCAGGGGAGGGCAGTTAGGGGCAATCGGGCCAGCAGGGGAGGAGTTAGGCGTCGATCACGCTGGCAGGGGAGTGGTTAGAGGGTGATCAGGCAGGCAGGCAGGCAGGCGAGCAGTTGGGAGCCAGCAGTCCCGGATTATGAGAGGGATGTCCGACTGCTTGTTTAGGCCCGATCCCACAGGGGTCCCAGATTGGAGAGGGTGCAGGCTGGGCTGAGAGACACACAGTCATGAGGGACACACGAATTTCGTGCACTGGGCCTCTAGTATGTTTATAAAACAGTATCCACTGAGAGGAGGAAACTAGTTGTACAGTTGATCCTTAAACATTGTGGGGATTGAGGGCTCTAACTTCTCTCTATGCACAGTTGAAAGTCTGCATATAACTTTGGCTCTCTCAAAACTTATTACTAATAGCCTACTGTTGGCCGACAACCTAAATGATAATATTAACTGTTGATTAATACATCTTTTTTCTTTTATGTATTATATATACAGTATCCTTACAATAAACTAAGCTAGAGAAAGGAAATGCTATTAAAATCAAAAGAGAAAATACATTGCCCATACAGTATTGTATTTATTGATATTGTGGCATTATGTCATCTGTTTATAAGATGGAAAAAAATCTGCATGTAATTGGACTCGAGCAGTTCAAACCTGTTTTGTTCAAAGGTCATCTGTACTATGAAACCCTTTTAGGGAAGCTGCTTTGAAATTTATGTTTATTATGTTCTTTTTTACCCCATAAATGAGGATCATCTGTTAAATGTTTTATTTTGTATTAGGTGCAAATGTCAATTGTCAAGCCTTGGATAAAGCTACCCCCTTATTCATTGCTGCTCAAGAGGGCCACACAGAATGTGTGGAGCTTTTGCTGTCCAGTGGGGCAGATCCTAATCTCTACTGTAACGAAGACAGTTGGCAGTTACCTATTCATGCAGCTGCACAAATGGGCCATACAGAGTAAGTGTTAAAAATGGAAAATACAAATGATCTCATGATTAGAAGGTAATAAGGAATGTGTCTTCTGGGCCAGACCTATTACCTCCAGACAAAATCCTTGCTATTCTCTTCTCTACCAAACTGCTAATTGACTATGTCCACCCCCCACATCCTATCCCCATGCCATCCCCAATTCCTCTTAATCATGTGTAAGGCAGGCACAGTGGCTGGAAACGGGGCGACCCCAGCAGCTTTCTCAGGGTGTCATGTCTTCCCCTTGATTTCGCAAGCCGATACTCTTCTGCTCTTCTTTAGTTTTATCCAAGGCATCTTTAGTTGACTATCTGATAGCTTTATTCAATGTACTTAGCTTATCTCCTTGATCCCAGAAAGCTTTTGAGTTTGTGACCTCTCTTGGAGTCCAGTAGTTCTTTTGTTTGTTCATGACAGTTCTCCCATCTTGAACCCTTTGATTAGACTTCTGTTTATCTAATCTCAGGTCCAAACCAGTACTTTTTCCTACTTATATTACTCTTCTTGGTAACCAAAAGTTCTCATGAAATATGGGGTATTTTCTGGAGAGAGACTAAAATATGGTTGGAACTCTCTGAAATTGGGGTTCCAGGAATCTTGGAAGCTAATAATCTGGTTATACAGCCAGCAGCTAAATATAAATTGGCACTGAATGGATTTTTAAAATATATGCTTAAAGTCTTTAGAGTCATAATTCTACAAGTATAACTTCATAGCTATTGTTAGTATTATTTAATTTAAAAAACAATAGTGAAATTGTCTGTTTGTTTGCATAGAACATATTGTGCAATTTGGTTATTATGCCACTAGGTGGCATGGTATTTTACCATTTCCTTAAAGATATTTGTAGGCATGTTTGTGCCTCCTCTAAGAGTGTTTTTCCAACCCATTTAAAAAAATTAAACACATTAAGTTTAAAACATTTAAACATTTTAACACAGTATTTAGGTTTTTAAAATTTGGTATTTTTCTTAATTCTTGATTGTTTATTTAAACGTACATCTTAGGTATAATTATATTCTGAGCTTTAAATTGATACCAAAACTCTCTTGGGAATTTGTCCTCATTTATTCTCAAATTTGAGAATTCTATTTGTCACTGATGATTTCCTCCATAGAATACCTGTAAGATAAGTTCTATGATGTAGTAAGTTCTTCAATACTATTATCATCTTGGGCCTACCTTACATAAGGAAAAGTATCAGAGAGAAAGAATGCACTTTGGCATAGCCCTGACTTTCTTTCCCCAGAAAGAGAGAGGATTTACTGGCTTTCATGATTTCTAGTTTCATTTTTAATTTAGAAAAGTAGACTAGTTCTTTATCTCCAGTTGACTGCTGGAGGTAAGTTTACAGCAATCTAAAAACTTCTGTTTTAATGATTTCCTTTATTCTCTGCTTATCAACCATTTTCTTTATAAATCTGCCTCAGTATTTAAAGAGCTCATATTCTTTTTCAGAGAATAGGATGTTTTAGCAGAACATCCTGATGAAAATACTATTCATTTCATGTTACTTGACATTTAAACAAATTCTTATTAAATAGAAAAATAAAACTTTAGTTTGTACTTTAAGAAGGAAAAAATGTCTTGATACAAGTTTATATTTGCTATAATAAAGTTTGAAATAATTGATTAGATCTTATAATCTATATATATAAAAAGCCCGAGTGACCGAATGACTGAACAACTGAATGACCGAACGACTGGTCAGCTGGTCTCTATGATGCACACTGACCACCAGGGGGCAGATGCTCAACGCAGGAGCTTCTCCCTGGTGGTCAGTGCGCTCCCACAGCGGGAGTGCCGCTCAGCTGACTGACCCGTCCTGGCGGCCCACCAGCCTGGCGGCAGCCACTCACTCCCTCAGTAGTCCTGCAGGTCCAATCTCCGGAGAACGGGCCAGGCACTGACGGACCGCCAGCCTCCTGGAAGTTGGCCTCTTCCAGGAGGCTGGTGGCCGCTTCCCTTCCCCAGACACTCTGCAAGGAAGAAACAATATAAAAGCAGCCACCAGGTGGTTCCTGACAACTGGCATGAATGTCAGCAGGACGGATCTGGATTCCAGGCTGGCAAGGGTGTCCCACTGCCCGCCCGGGGGGCAGTTGCGTCTAGGTCCCCTCGACCCCCCTTGGGACGTAGAGCTCACGGCTGGCTAGCGCCACTTTGGGGGCATGAGCCTCTCTTGATCGGGACTGATTGGGCACGAGCCTCTCTTGATCGGGACTGATTGGGCACGAGCCTGCGGCACATGCAGCGGGGCCGGGATGAGTGGGAGCAGCAGGCAGGAGCGGCAGGTGGCGTTTGACTGCCGGTTTCGGCCCAATCCCCACACGCCACACCGAGGGACCCCACCCGTGCACTAATTTGTGCACCAGGCCTCTAGTCTAACATAAAATTTGAATTTTAGCAAGTAGGGCCATGGTAGTAAGGTAAGAAATTCATGAAAAGTAAGAAAGGACAACCTGTTACCTACTTACTTATAGGAACACTAGAGGTCCGGTGCATGAAATTTGTGCACGGGTAGGGTCCTTAGGCCTGGCTAGAGATCAGGGATGACTGGGGCCTCCGGCTGCTGGCCAGGGCCTTCCTTTGTTCCGCGCCACCCCTTGGTGGTCAGGGCACATCATAGCGAGCTATTGAACTCCCGGTTTCCTGGGACACTTTGCATATTAGCCCTTTATACATATAGATTATTTAATTCTCTTTCAGATCTATTTAAAGACCTTTGTATTAAGTAACAATAATAAGTATAACATTCTGGAGTATATAGCCTGTAATAACTTAGTATAGGTGGAAGCTATACTGAAGACAGATTTTTACTAAATAACTAGAGGCCCGGTGCATGAAATTCATGCACTGGGGTGGGGGCTGTCCCTCAACCAAGCCTGCACCCTCTCCAATCTGGGACCCCTCTCACAATCCAGGACTGCTGGCTCCCAACCGCTCACCTGCCTGCCTGCCTGATTGCCCCTAACCACTTCTGCTTGCCAGCCTGATCACCCCCTAACCACTCCTCTGACAGCCTGATCAATGCCTAACTGCTCCCCTGCTGGCCCGATTGCCCCCAACTGCCCTCCCCTGCTGGCCCGGTCGCCCCCAACTGTCCTCCCCTGCCAGTCTGGTCATCCCCAACTGCCCTCCCCTGCAGGCCTGGTCCCCCCCAATTGCCCTCCCCTGTTGGTCTGGTCACCCCTAACTGCCCTCCCCTGCTGGCCTGGTCACCTGTAACTGTCCCCTCCCCTGCTGGCCTGATCACCCACAACTGCCCTCCCCTGCCGGCCATCTTGTGGTGGCCGTCTTGTGACCACATGGGGGCAGCCATCTTGTGCAAGGGCATGATAGACATGTGACGGTCTACGTGTGCTGTAGAAATGTTACCTATATTTATGTGCATGTAAAAATATTAAATGCTTCCATATTCATGTATTTGCAGAATCTTGGACTTGCTCATACCACTTACTAACCGGGTCTGTGACACTGGTCCAGACAAAGTGAGCCCTGTTTACTCGGCAGTGTTTGGAGGGCATGAAGACTGCCTAGAAATGCTACTCCAGCATGGCTATAGCCCTGATGCCCAGATGTGCCTCGTCTTTGGATTTAGTTCTCCACTCTGTATGGCTTTCCAAAAGGAGTATGTATATTTGCTATTTTTTATTATTTTTTTCAATATTGAGATGCATTTCCAACTGATTTTCTTTTATGATGAAGTTTAATATGTCTTAGTGCTAAATTGTTAACTTAAAAACAAACAGAAAAATCCCTCTATGGTGTACCTTGTTAAAAGTACAGTAAAAATGAGGTAATGATGTCAGATTTTTTTTCCTTCCCTCTTTAGATCTGGATTATATTTTCAATGTAGCAGTTTTAGAGAATACTTTTTACTGTATTAAGTAAATGTAGGAATTCTCTAATATCCTTTGTCTCCAAAACAATTCAAGTGAAGTGGCCCTATAGAACATAATTGAAATCTGGTTTGATGACTTTAAAAGAGCTTATCATCTATTTTCTTATGTGTGGGAACTTATAATTGGACCAAATTATAATTAGTAAGGTAGTTTTTTAGTAAGAAAAATCATTGGAAGATATTATTTGTTAGCCTGTAGGGAAAAAGTTAAAACATCAAAATATCTGTTTCCTAGTCTTTCTAATTGACTTTTCATTTGCCTGGGATCCATGGCAATAGACTTAATTTTAATACATCTTTGCCATTTTTACCTACTTTGTGGAGAATTTAATTGAAGAGAAACCTTTCCCAAGGGCTAAATTTAAAAGATGATAGTATCATAATCATATATGCTTGCATGTGTATATAAAGGAATTGACAAGTATAATTCATAGCACAATTTTTTTCACAGTAGAAAAATATCATGTGCCCTGATCAGGAATCCAACTGGTTAATTTTCTTCTCTCTACCATCCTTTCTTTATCTAGAAAGCAATATAAGTTAAAATGTTAGTCTCTAGACTACATTTATATTAGCTAATGTCTAGCTCTTAGTTTGCATGTCAGTCACTATACATGTAATGAGAAAAGCATTTGGTTATTTTGGGACTCTTACAAACTTTTCTGATCAAGGAAGAAAGCTGACATTCTCCTAGTAGGTTTTGTTTTAGTATATCAAGAGTGTAATATTATAGCTTGGTGCTTGTAGAAAAAAAATCAAAATTGAAAAGTGTGTTAATTTTTTTGTTATTTTTTTCAATAAGTATGCATCTTAAAATTTGGATTCTCTACAGCAGCAATTTTCAACCTTTTTCATCTCATGGCACACATAAACTACTAAAATTCTGTAGCACACCAAAAAATATGTTATATTTTTGTTATTCTGACAAAAAAATGATTATAATTTTGATTCATTCACACCAGATGGCTATTGTTGTGCTGGCTGTAGTCATTTTTTTTATTTGACAGTCTAAGGGAAGAGTGGTCAGTGCCCTGACTAGATAGTCAGGTATTGTATGTTATAAAAATTCTTGTGGCACACCAATTGAAAATCACTATTCTACAGTAACATACCTAAATTAATTAAACTAGAATTCCCATTTTTAAAGCAAGGATAATTTAATATAATTTTCATTTGAAATAACTATTATGTTCTCTTGCTCCTTAATGAAATAATGTATGAATTTCCTATATTCCATTTAATAATTATTTACTCAACATTGTTATTTATCTAAATATTTTTATTGACTTTTAAAGAGAGAGAAGAGAGAGAGAGAGAAAGAGAGAGAGAGAGAGATAGATAGAGAGAGAGAGAGATATATCGATGTGAGAGCTAAACATCAATCGGCTGCCTCTTGCAAACCCCCTCCCAGGGATTGAGCCGCAACCTAGGCATGTGCCCTGATCAGGAATCCAACTGGCAATCTTTTGGTACACGAGACTATGCCCAACCAACTGAGCCACACTGGCAGGGCAACATTTTTGATTCTTAAAATATATATATAT